GACAGCCTCTGAACCTGCTGGAGGGTCAGCTGAGTCAGTGAGACCTGGGATACACCACCACTGGGGGCAGCATCCTTCCATGCCATCTAAAAGGCAAAGAAATAGCATTTCAACCCTCTTTGAAACAAGCAAACAGGCGCTGACTCTGGGAGCAAGGAGCCTTCCCCGAATGCAGGTGAGCTTCTCTCGGCAGTTGACGGCATGGTTTCATCTCTCCTGCAGTGTAGGGCAGGCTGGGCTCTCACTTTACCCCGCTGACTGATTTTCCGTTTCTAACGTTACCCCGCCCAGGTGCCAAACACATTTTGCACAAGAACTCAGCTCAGTCTCCCATCGCCTCCGAGCAGGGACAACAAGGAGTCTGTCAAAGGGTCGGACCAGGGCAGGGGGGCTATCTGCTAAGGCCTTCATGGGACCAGGGCAGGGAGCAGGGCAGGACTGCTATCTCGTAAGCCCTTCATGAGCTGAAAGGGAACTGCTTTCTTGCTTGCTCGCTGTGACTAATTCTAAAGGCCCTGGGCCTCTAGTGATGATGATCTGGGGTTGATGACCATTTGGGGACAGATGAGAATCTGATCTCAAGCTGAAAGATCCCACCCCTTGTTGCTAATCCCTCAACTTTCCAAGCCTAAATAGGACACGTCTCAGAAAAGAGAATTTCTCCTTTTACCGCCTACTTGACTATTGTCTGCACTCATTTTGCTCAACAAAATTCATTAAAGCTCAGCTCTAGGGGTTTACAGTGGAGTGGAGGGAGGCTGTGGCCACGCTGCACCAGAGGCCCTGGAAGCCCCTCTTCCTTGGGATATTCAGCCCTGGAAACAGCCCGGCTTCCAAGGGGCTACAGCCCACCCCCAGGCGCTGACTTAGAATCCCCATCCTGACCACGCTAAGGGCCCACAAGAACCCAGGGGGACGGGTTAAAACATAGATTCTGTTCCTGTATAAGCGAGCGCTGGTGGGCCTAAGGCAGGCAGTTCAAATCCACCAGCTGCTCTGAGGGAGAAATACGGGCAAGTTCCTCTAATGTGATTTACAGCCTCTGCAACCCAGAACAAACCAGCTAAGAACCCTGTAAGAAGCACGGCTGCTGCCCGCACCAACAGGCGTGGTTCTGGCAACTAAGAATGCGAGGCCTGCACTGGGTGGTTTCTGGTACAGAGAAGGACGCTTTGAACAAATAAAACGAAAGCAACATCACGAAATGGCTGTACGCTGTTCTCTGACGTTGTTATGTGCCATCCAGCTGCTTGTGACTCATAGCAACCCTGTGTACAACAGCCCTAAACCCTGCTCTGTCCTGTACCAATCTCACTGCCTCCAACACACCTACCCGCATTACCACAGTGACAGATCAATCCAACTCATCAAGGGTCTTCTTATCCTGCAGTGTTCTTCCACCCTCCCAAGCATGATGTCCCTCTCCAAGGACTGGTCTCTCCTTGCAACATGTCCACAGTATGTCAGACAAAGCTTCAAAATCCTTGCTTCCAAGGAGCAGCCTGGCTTCACCCTCTCCAGGACAAACTTGTTTGCTCTCCTAGCAGTCCATGGTATATTCAATACTCTTCTCCAGCACCACAGCTCAAAGGCATCAATTCTCTTTCTATCATCCCTAGTCACTGTCCAGCTCTCTGATGTTTAGCAAGTAATTGCAAAGACCACGTCCTGGATCAGGTGCACCTTACAATCCTCAGTACCTTGGAGAGGTCCCTAACAGCAGACTTTCCCAATGCAATCCGTCTTTTCATTTCCTTGCTGCTGGTACCAAGAGTGCTGACTGTAGAGCCAAACAAACTGAAGCTGTCAACAATTTCAATCTTTTCATCATCCATCATGATGTTGCTAATCAGCCCAGTTCTCTGATAGTAACCTGAATATTAGAAATCTGTGACAAAATGAACCAAAGTGGCGTTGTCCGTGCAGTATCAGATCATCAGGGTGAGCACTTGCTGATCAGACCTCCCTCTCATGAGCTAAAAGGAAAGTGAACCTTAACAAAAAAAAGTGGTGGGGGACAAAACCAGGGAAACCCCAGCTACAACTGACGCAAGCCACTTCTAATGCCAGGCGAGCCACACGGAGTTGGAGGGAGCCGTCTAGGCACTTCGATATGTTCCAGGGTGAGGATGTCACTCCTGGTCACCAAGCGCAGACTGGGGCATCCCACAGTGTGCACAGGCTAGATTTTTTACTGTGTGTGGGTCTCATGGATCATGTCTGACGGCGGCCAACAAGGGTCAACATGCGATACGATACAGCGCAGTGGCCGGCTGTCCACACTCAACCTCATCTTCAGTCCGGAATCTAGAAACGTGGACCTGAAATGAAGGCTGACTGAGATCACCCTGTAAGTTCGTCTCAGGATTACATTAGTGGCTAAAAAATACAACTATAAAGACTACGTCAAGACTCATACAAAAATATTTCTACTGTAACATTACTTTAAAAGAATTCAAAACACACTATAAATATAACTATGTAAAACATGCATGTGAGTGGAGGGGAGCTAAAGCTGTACAGAGAGCGATGGCTTTAAAAAGAAAAGAGCGAATTTCCTGTATCAGCTTTTCCAGGAAGGAACTGCTTGTTGTTGTTTGAAATTCATCAGTGAAAGCTTGCTGAGAATATTTATGTCTACGAAGTGACAGATGAGAGACACAGCTCCGCACCCCAGCAGCAGCACTGTCCACTCAGGAGGCGTGAGGCCAGGTGCTGGCGAGACCCTGCGAGGGTTTTCATGTCATCAACACTGGACTAGACCAGCCCTTTCTCGGCAGCAGCACAGGGCGTGCACCCTGGGGACCCTGCTGGCCTGGGACTCCACCAGGTTCTGAGGCCTGGGACGTGAGGTGGAAGCCACCGTTCTGCAGGGAGGTCACGCAGGCAACACCCCTCGGCTGGCAGGGGACTGGCTGGCTTCCAGGTCACCGAGAATCTCCTGACTGCACGTGGTGGCTACCGCAGCAGGAAGAGGCCAGGTCCTCAGGGCTCCTGGCACCACAGTACTGGCCTTCGGGGGCAAGCTCGGAAATACGGCCATATGTCAGCTGCTGTTGTGTGCCATCAACTGACCAGCTCAGAGCAACCCCAAATGACCGAGGAGAGCGGAGCTGCCCCACGCTCTCTACAGAGGGAAGCATGGACGAGGGGACGGCACGATGACTCCCACAGCGGGCTCATGGAGACCAGAGACTATACGGAGGCCACGGGGATGGTCACTGCAGGGACGGTGACCATGGGAATGGTCACTGCAGGGATGGTCACTATGGGGACAGTCCCCAGGGGAATGGTTACCGTGGGGATGGTCACCTCAGGGATGATCACCATGCGAATAGTCTCTGTGGTGACAGCCACCACGGGATGGTCACCACGGATGGTCACCATGGGAATGGCAACTAAGGGCTTGGTCACTACAGGGATGGTGAGCATGGGAATGGTCATCACAGGATGGTCACCATGGGGATGGAGAGGGAGTCGGCAGGTTTTCGTTCTTACAGGTCCCACTGACTGCTGGGTCCGAACCCCGCTGGAGCTGGCTGAGGTCCATGCAGTGTCCACCCTGGCAGAGCAGGTCTGGTGTTGGTCCTGTGGCCTGACTGCTGGGCGAGGGGAGGCCTCGCAGGCGGTGATAGCTGGGTCAGTGGTCTCATCCTTTCGAAACGTTCTGCTCCTCGTGACGTCCGGTTAACTGGAGGGTCTGCGCTCCCTTCTAGCTGAGGCTGGTATGCTGGCCCATGTCGGGGGCAGGGGGCGCGGGGTGAAGTTCGTCTGAGGAGCTGCCCCTGTTCAAGCTGACAGGCCTGGTGTACCTGGGGTCACAGTCGGCTGGAAATAACGCGGCAGCACCTAAAAAAACCCCACCTCTACAGAAAGACACCGGTCGTTTCTCCATAGAGCTGCTGGATAGAACTGAACCCCCAACCTTCGGGACAGCAGCTGAACTGTCCACCACTGTGCCACCAGGGGTCCTTACCTACCAGCTGATGAGCAGCAAAGTATCCCAGCAAACAAAATATGCACAGATCACAGTCACTGCTTTAAAAGACAATGGGAGACAGAAAAGGAAGCACGGGGCATTGTGAGGAGCAGACTCGTGTTTATTAACCGGATTCCAGATCGGGGATTCGGGGCCACCAGGGCGTGTGGCTGCTCCACAGAACACCGGGAGCACCAGCAGGCCACTCGAGGTCCTGGCTCCTCCTCCACATTTAGAATGAGGCAGGCTTCCTGGTCATTACACATTCACCAAAGGCTTTGGGAAGAGGGGGCTACCAGGCTTCGACCTGCCCCCCTGGACCAAAGGCACTTAATGTTAAAAGATAAAGCATGGTGCAGTCACCCCACGGGCCTTCTGTGTTCAGAGCTCTGCACAGCCCCCCGTCCTCCCGGCCCATGTGGGGTTCATCCCAACGATGAAAGGACACTGATTTCCTTGGGAAAACAAAGTGCGGTGTGACTAGAAAGGCCCTGCCTAAGCCCTCCCACCCCTGCTCGTCTGGGAGCGATCCCTGAGCACTCACTCTGCATGACTGGGGTCACCAAGGTGCATACGGGGGCAAGAGTTCAAGGTCACCCGTCATCCACTCTCTACAAAGTCCCCCAAATAGACTAACTCTAGGATTGCCGAGCTGGAGAGAACCGCAGAAGTCACACTGGCCGCGTCCTCAGTGGACATGAGGACACAGTCAGGAAGGTCAAGCAGGGCCTCTGGGGTCAGACCCCAGGGAGAGCCAGGCTCCCGAGGCCCTGCCCTTGACCTGCGCACTCTCCTGACCCCTCTAAAGCCTTTCAAAAGTGAAGCCTGGCCGGGACCCCGAAGACCCCAGCTCCAGCCCTGACGTCGAGCAGCAGCTGGTCCCACGGAATGGGCCTGTGGGCAGGTCCACCGCAGGGGGATAGTTCTGTGCACAAGATTATCCAGGGTTCACCAGGGGCCTGCATGCAGGCTGGACACCACTCCCGAGAGGCCAGCTCCCCTGGTGTTCAGTCCGAGGTGGTCAGCCCGAGGTGGGCAGGTGGTCGGCTGCACAGCGGAAGCCCAGGTTGGAGGCTGAGCTGTCAGGTGTGTTCTGGCTCCGAGCGGCGCAGCGATACCTGTAGCAATAGGACTGTGCAGAGAGAAATGGGAAGGTGACTTGTATGTGGATTCTCATCAGAATGTTCTAGAACAGGACCAGCTGCAGAGCAGTGTGGTCAGAGCTCCCCTGAAGACCAGCCAGCATGCCCACTGGAAAGAGGACGATGTGCAGCGCCAACCACAGGACGACCACCCAGGGCACCTCACCCACAGGCGCGGCAGGGACGCTCGAGGGCAGACGTCACTGCGACCTCACACCAGGGACAAGCAAAGCTGTGACACGGGCAACTAGATTCGGCACATCCACACAACGGCGCCCCAAGTCACATTCCTGCCTGTGACAGCCCAGCTGCACACAGCTCCCCAGGGCCGGCTGGCTGGAAGAAGTGTGGCCTTGTTCTGAGGGCCATTTTGTTCTGAGGACATCCACCTGTGGTCAACTGCACCACTCAGACACTAACAGCATCTTCCAAAAGACCCACCAGCACTGGGAAGGCCCCTCACAGAACATCAACTGGGAAAGGGAGATTACAAAACTGGGAAAGGGAGATTACAAAACTGGGAAAGGGAGAGTACAAAACTGGGAAAGGGAGATTCCAAGCGGTAAACTCTCAGGCTTCATCACTACGCTTATCATGAACAAAATGGAAAAGAAGATTCAAATGCGTCTCCACGTTGATAGCTCTTAGCCTTACAAATGTCTCCAGCAAGAATACCTGTCACCATTTAAGAAGTTACCTGTACATTTAGAATGACAGTGATATTAAAGCCAGTGATACAGATAAATGGCAACTGGGAAATTGTGAAGAACATTAAGATCCCACATGCTAGCCAGGAGATACGCAATGCAGTCACCACAGGTGGGCAAGGCCGGCGCCCAGAGAATGCTCACACACGGCTGCCTGGGCTCAGGAAACCTCGGAAAGCTGCCCTTGGCTGTGAGGTGTCCTGGAGGAGGGCTGCTGTCCCCAAACGGGCAGAGGCTCACTCCATGTGGTACACACTGCACGGGGCCACGCAGTCCATCCTGTTACTTCACCTTATCATAAGAGACTGGGGTAACTACGTCAGCTTCTGGGCCTCCAGCTCTGCCTGCGTTGCCCATGTCCCCTCACAGAAGCTACCCTCTCAGACGATGGCAGCCTCTCCGTCTCCCTCACCACCTCCCGCCTGCACACATACTCCACAGACAAAGGAAAGGCCAACATGTACCCTGGGCACCTGACGTAGCCAGTGAACAGCCACAGACTACAGGACTTGACACTTAAAAGCCTCCGGATTCGAAAATCGATCAAGCATGGCCCAGCCCTGTCTTAGGACTGCTCCTTGGTCAAGAGTAGCAGAGAATGGGAAGAGCCTGGTGAAGCTACGGGCCCTGCCAGCCAGAAAGTCAAGTGCCCAAATGACTGCGGAGAAGACGACCAGGAAGGGGAACTGAAGGGGCTGAAGGGGCGAGGTCTACCAGTTCTGATTCTCTCCTCTCAAAAGGGTGGGTGACAGCACCGGTTCTAGGGACCTCAGCACACAGCAATCCCATCTGGACTGTGTGTTTGTGCATTGTGCTGAGCCCCCCACAGAGATTCTGGTCATGTCTACAATGAAGCCTAAAAGGGGGCCTTTCTAACTGGTCCCCGGCTGCTGACACTCCTGGCCCAGGGCCCACATGTGGAGAAGCACCAATTTCCATCTTCAGAAAGAGGAAAGGAGGCATGTCAGGTGGATACACATCATCACACAAAACGTTACAGAATGCCAGGCACTATCTAGGCCCAGGACGGGGAGGCAGCCTGGACACGGCGGCAGCCTGGACCTAGCAGGGATGGGAGTCACACATCAGGCATCAGTGTCCAGCTGGTTACGGCAGCAGCACCCTGAAGAGAGAACCTGGGAGAGGGGCGAGGAGTGAGCTGGCGGCGACTGCAGATGGGTGAAGGATGGCACCCCGCGAGCCACGCTGCCGCAGGAGCTGAGTAACGGGGATCCCACGACAGTGATGACCGCAGGGTTAGTGACAGGAAACGGGGAATGTGGGGAGCTAAACAGGATGGTTCCAGACCATTTCAGACCAGCTGCAGCTGGTCTTCCCAGCAAAAAGAGGAGTATGAGCTTGATATAAAGAAAACTATTAAAATAACACCTTACAGAAAGGGCAAAATGCAAGATCCATTAGCTATGGAACCTTAGCGAATCCGTTCTGAATCTGCTGACTCATCAATAAATTGGGGCTGGTAATGTGAGGCTGTCAAGACACTGGACCTTTGTGCTTACGTAAAAATAAAGCACTGTCCTTGAAGAAGAGACAACTGCTACTTTACCAGCAACAAGACCCCATTCATCACAGACTCTTGGGGGGACCTGTGGGGCTGAGGACTTCCTCACTAACACAGGACCCTAGCCAGCCTCTGAACCAGTGCTGGGGATCGTGTGCCGGGCAGCGGAGAGACGGCGATGCCGCCATCATCATAAACTGCGGTGTACGTTTGCTACGATAACGGGTATGTGTTACCTGCTGCATAAACAGAAGCCAAGGAGCTGGAGGCGCTCGGCTGAGACCTCGGTGGGCCGCCTATTTCCACATTCCACGCATCTCTCAAGTTACACACACGTTTTAAAGGTACCCTTCACGTACCACACAGCCCACATGCCGCAGCCCTAACAGGCACTTAATGCCAGTGTGGAGCATGTGCTGAGAAGCCCGAGAGCCAAGCACGTGACAGGAGAGCGAGCAACCAGCTTCTACCACGGCCAGGGAAGAGGGCAGTGACACAACAGGCTCACCTTGAACGAAAAAGGAAACTGCAAATACTTGGTGGGATAATAACAGATCTGCTCTAGCACGCAGGATGAACACTTTTTACTTTCGTTGTTCTTTATCTTAGGGAGATCTGGTGGCACCACCCACGGGAACTTGAGCTGCTCAGTCAAAGCAACTTCTCTCTGGAGGTTCACATCCCCCAGCTGCTCCTCAGAAGAAGACGGACAATCTCGTCCCATGACACTTACAGCCTCCCCACTGGAGGGTCAGTCAGCAGTCAGTTCCCACTCGATGGCAATGAGGTGTGCGATTTTATTCTGTTTAATTCTTTAATTTTAGAATTATATTTTCATTTTTACCTGGTGAAAATGTCTGTGTAACTAAAAAGCTTAAAATCTGCAGCAACAAAAAAAATGAGTCCAGTGTCCCCTCAGCTCACAGCACCTCGACACCTTCCGTGAAGCTACGCTCACAGCACTTCTCTCCACTAGTGAGTGTTCGGGGGCTCGGTGCACAGGGAGGCCACTGGCACGTGGGGAGGCCACCGCCTGGGGCACGGGGAGGCCACTGCCCAGGCCATGGGGAGGTCACCACCTGGCCCACGGGGAGGCCACGGCCCGGCCCACAGGGAGGCCACTGGCTAGTGCACAGGGAGGCCACCGGCTGGCGAACGGGGAGGCCACTGGAGAATGCCATCATTCCACCTAAAGGGGTTTGTTCATCTGAAAACACTTAACAATAAGTGGTTCATTTTAAATGCCAATAACGGACAATTCAGGAACACACAATTCATGAGAGAAACGGCCTGATTACAAATGCCCTCATTTTTGTTCTTTCTCCCCCTCCACTTTTAGGACAAAATTATTCTATGGATGCAAGGTGTTTGGGTGGCTGGGAAATGGGTCACTTTTTAATTAGGATCAGAGAAGGGCCCTGTTCAACCCTATTTCATCAGAAAGGCTAATTACATTGTGGAAGTGATTTCATTAACTGAACTAAGAACGTGCTTGAGCACTCAGAAAGAATCTGTTTAAGACAGTGATTCACAAGCTGTGGGACTCTGATGCCAAGGTGACAGGAGGATGGTTTCCTGACAGGAGGACTTTGAGGAGAAAGGTAATGTCAGGGCAACAGTGGGTCACTATGAACGTATACCAAGACGTGCACCCCAGAGCCCAGGCCTCTGCAGCTCCAACCGCCCGCGCTGGCTCCAACAGCAGACCAACTCCTTCGCTAAGGACCTGTGTACTGTTACGTGCTATTATGTCACAACGACACACAGATGACCCCCAGGTTTTCAGAGGTTGTAAACCCCACAGGAAGAAAATGCTCATCTGTCTTCCACGGAGTAGCTAGTGGCTTTGAACTGCCGTCTTCTAGGCTGGCCGCACAACTCTGTACTCACAAAGCCACCGTGAGCCGAACACGTCTGTATAACACAGCAGAAGGGGAGGGTGCGCTCCATGGTCCACACTGGGCTAAAGCCCCCTGGGATGAACTGAAGACGCCTGCAGCGATCACTACTTTTCGGGTACTTGCGCTGTGAGTTGTTCTAAGAACCTGATGTGTTTTGTCACCCCCTTAATCCTCCCAGTAGTTCTAAAGGTAAGATTAGGAACGTTCCCTTTCAAACACGGGGAGAAACGGAGAAACAGTCATGGTGACAGCAGGTATGCGCCAAGGTGGCGGCCTCGCAGACCCACAACCAGACTGCTCTCCACGGTGCCATGTCCGTGCCTCTTCTCCTCACGGAGGTCGTTCTGTGGATGGATGTCCAAAAGTTACAAAGAAAACATAAGAACCCACTGTAGCCACAAACCAGCCCTGCTCACAGAGGAGGCAGAAAATCACCTTCTAACCAAAGTGATGTTTTCTAAAATTCTAACATTCTCTTCCTTTTTAGAATGCTGAGTTTCTGCACTACCAGGAGAGGATAACAACCATGAATGGGACCTTCTAGAAATTAAGTCCCTATGAGCATCAAAAATGGTTTCCAGTAAAATGAACACAAAACCTACGAACTGGAGAAAACATCTGGCAATGCTGGGAAAGACTGAGGGCCAACAAAAGACAGGAAGACCCTCAACCAGGTGGACGGACAGTGACTGCCACAGTGGGCTTGAGCAGGACACAAACCGGGAGGACGGCGCAGGACAGGGTGAGGTTCAGGCCTGGTGTTCAGACAGTTGGTAGCTAGGAGGTGTGGTCAGCTCCATGGCACCTTACCACAACAAAATGAGCACCTTAAATAAAAAGAGTCTAAAACATCTCAATTAAGAGAGATTCAATTCTCTGAAAGCTCAAACTACCAAATCTTAACAAAGAAGAATAGATATCGTGCAGTGTCTTTGATCTATAAAACTAAACGTACAGTAACTCTATGTCCACGTAGGGAGCTCAGGTGGCCTAGTGGCCAGAAGCTGCACTGCAATCCCGAAGGCAATGGTTCAGATCGCTTCGCTTTGGAACTCTTTTGTAGATTGAAGGTATTAAGATCATTAATTATTAGTATTCCACATAAGTAATCAATCTGATTCCTATGCATACCATCAGGTGAAATCTAGGTATATAACCTGCGTTTATGTCTCTTAAAAAATGTATTTGCTATGAATAAGTCATTGATTGTGCAAAATTCGATCATTCTCTCTCCAGCTCCATTTCCGTCACCGGGTCCATGTTTTCCAACTACTGAATCTTCTTCTTTGTTCCTGACTTTTGCATTCCAGTCACCCATTATTATCAATGCATCTTGATTGGAAGGGTGTACGCCAGGGATGCATCCTATCTCCATAACCTTTTCAACCTATATGCAGAACAGATTATCCGGGAGGCTGGGCTCTATGAGGAGAAATGTGGGGTCAAGAATGGTGGACGATTTATCAACAATCTGCATTATGCGGATGACACAACCCTGCTTGCTGAAACTGAGGAGGACCTGAAGCGCCTGCTGCCGAGTGTCAAGAACTGCAGCCTACAATATGGATTGAGGCTCAATGTCAAGAAGACAAAGATTCTCACCACTGGACCAATTGGCAGCATCAGGATGGATGGTGAAGAGATTGCGATTGTACACAGCTTTAGTTTGCTTGGCTCCACAGTCAACAGTCTTGGCACCAGCAGCCAGGAAATTAAAAGGCGCATTGCCATGGGAAAGTCTGCTGTTAGGGACCTCTCCAAAGTGCTGAAGAGCAGTGGTGTCTCTTTGGAGACTAAGGTGCGTCTGATACAGGCCATGGTCTTCGCAATCACCTGTTATGCATCAGAGAGTTGAACAATGACCGAGGAGGATAGAAGCAGAATTGATGCCTTTGAGCTGTGGTGCTGGAGAAGAGTACTGAGACTACCATGGACTGCTAGGAAAACGAACAGATTTGTCCTGGAAAGGGTTAAACCGGGTGGCTCCTTGGAGGCAAGGATTCTGAGGCTCGGTCTAACATACTTTGGACATGTTGTGAGGAGAGACCGGTCCTTAGAGAGGGACATCATGCTTGGGAGGGTGGAGGGACGGCGCAGGAGAGGAAGGCCCTCTATGAGGTGGATTGATTCAGTGATTGGGATAATTGGGATGGGAGTGTCAGAGACAGTGCGATTGGCGCAGGACAGAGCAGAGTTTAGGGCTGTTGTACATAGGGTCGCTATGAGTCGCAGGCGACTCGACGGCACATAACAACAACAACAACACAACAATTATTAGTATTATTATTATTAGTATCATTCTACAGAAACTCTTTATCAAAACTGGAGATGAGGGAATACCACCCTACCCAGCTGATGGGACCAGCAGTACCCTGATACAAAACCAGATGCAGAAATCATCAAACTAAGGGAACAGGTCACTACCTATCATAAACACTCATACTAAAAATGCTAACAATTTAGCAAATTAAATCCAAACTATATTAAAAAGTTAATATATCATTCCTATTCGTGGTGTGTCCCAGGAATGGGAAATTATTTTAACATTTGAAACTCAACTGACATGACTAATAAACTGAAATAATAAAATAAAAAATATAACATATGAATATCTCAATAAACGCAGGAAAAGTATCTAACAAAACCCACACACTCTGTTGTCAAATGCTCCAAAAACAAAGGATACAAAGTTCTTCAAATACTAAAGGAGATCTCTGGAAAGGCAGGAGTTGACACCAAGCTAAGCCCAGAATCTGGAGTTAGAGGCATGGACACCTTTACCTCAGTGTCCCACACTCTCCTGAAGGGTCCAGCCTGAGCAGTATAGGAAGAAAGGCATAACCATGTAAGGAAAGAGGAAATCTGTCTTTATTCACAGATACGAGCATCTATGTAGAAAAACCTTACAGAATTTCTAAAAATATTCTAAAATTAATACAAGTCAACACAGTGATTCTCAGGAAACACTACTGTTCTCTGATGATAGAAAATGTTTTCACAGGTTTATTTGCCCCACGTATTCTAGGAGAATCTCTGGTTCCCATATACAGGGTCACTGAGTGTCAGAGACATAACTGGTAGCAATTAAAGTTGTGTGAGATATTACTGCGCCAAACGGATGTGCCTGTTTTAAAGCTGAACTTGACATTCTTAAAAAACCCAGATCTGCTGGGCCTGTTGAGGATGGAGGAATCCCCAAGACTGTGGCCGTGAACTGACTAACAAGCCTTCAATTAAAACTGCCTTGAAGTCACTTTTAAACTAAGTAGCACTTCTGTCCAAAAAGCAAAGCTTGTCACCCCTGAATATTACATTTTCCTGAAAAAATATTTCAAAACACCCAACTATAAAAACCCCTAATGTTCTGTAGCTATTTTTAACACTTTATAACCCATGGTACATACAATGTCCAGCTACATTTTCAACCTCTAAGGTCTAAAGACTGTCAGTTTAAAGACTGAAGTGCCCTTGATCCATATCATGGTGCTTTCAGTTGCTCCCCATACTTCTCAAAGTAGTAACAATGACAAGAAGAATCGAGGTCTGAATTGTCGTGAGAAGGGCACGGAGTGGCCCGCGGCTGCTAAAAGAACAAACACACGCATCTTGGACAAAGTGAAATTAGAGAGCTACTTACAGGCAACGATGGTGAAATGTTATCATTCATACTTTGGGAGTGTTGTCAGGGAGGGCCAGTCCTTGGAAAAGAAGCCATCATGCTGGGAAAGGTCCCTGACACTGGGACTATAACAAAAGCCTAGAACACGTCTGAGACCATGTGGACGGGGCAAGGTTCTGCTGTTTATAGGGTCGCTGTGAGTCACAGTCTACCAGATGGCACCTAAGAACAGGGTTTAGTGGGAAGGTGGTGTCCCATCGCTAGTGTGTGCTGCCACCTGGTGGAGAGGAAAGTAACTGCAGGCATCGGAAGGCACAGGACCCAACACAAGCCCCCTAGGACATGTGAGTCCCGGGAAGTGTATCCAAATCAATACACTTTAAAAATCCCTTTCACTCAAAATGCTTCCCATTGCCGAAAACATGGTTTCAGCAGAAAATGCCTCAGTCCTGAAAGGGTTGAAGTCTAGATGAGCAGATGAGGGGCTGGGAAGTTTAAGTAACTGTAAATAAAACAACCTGAACAGAAATATAGACACGTGACCAGTGTTGACCATTATGTCTATAAACCTGAATAAGCACGAGTCTTGCTGTGTGTATTTTTACAAAACCTCAACATACATATTAAGAAATCTATGTGGGCGCCCAGGTCACATCTCAGAAAGGCTGAGCACGAGTGTGAGGGAAGCCAGGCCCCAGTGTGCCCTGTCGATCGCAGAGGACGGCAGTGCACAGCACACTGCGAGCCTGGCTGCAGGACAGTGAGGGTGATAATCCTCCACTGCCCAATTAGTAACTTAATTTAGAGCAATTCCAGGCTGTGTCAAGTCTCTGACTGCCTGGACTGAGCGAATTACCACAGGAAGCCTCCTGTAATAACCACGGGCAAAATCCATCTTTGCACAGGGAACAGACAAAAGCTGAGGTGACCCAGATAGAAAAGAGAGGCGGTGGGATCTCATTTCCAAATTCCTGCTGCAGGTTACTCATGAGACAGCAAGTTAAACCATAAAGTCAGGGGGACCAGAGACGTGCCGGTCCTGCCAGAGAAATGGTTTCTAAAGAGCGTCCCACACTCAGAGTGGATTTTAGGAGGTCACTAAGGACGTGTCCACCCCAGCACCCTGCACACCATGCTGCAGTCAAAGCTCTCACCCTCATCCCAGCAGAGAAAACAGTGACCCAGTGCATGCAACTTCACAGAAATGACAGGTGCTTCCAAGTTTACAGCAGGGAAAGGCTCACGGGACAGCAGCGGTCTCCCCAAAAGGAGGGGCTCAGCACAGGACCTAGCTGAAGGCAGGGCGCCCACAGCCCCTTTTCCCACAGTGAGCCCAGCATTCACACGACTGCACCACCTTCGCTGGATTACATGGCAGTACGCATGTCCGGAGCTCCTGCTGACCAGCAGTGCCCACACGTCAGCTCCAACTCCTAGCAGCCCTCCGTCCAAGTGCAACAGGACAAAACCCAGCCCGGCCCTGCACCGTCCTCACAAACCCCACTGCGCTCAAGGCCAGTCCTGCGGCCACCACGTCGGCCACTCCCATGGAGGGTCCTCCTCTCCTTCACTGACCCTCCACCTTGCCAAGCATAATGTCCTTTACTGGGACTGGCCCTTCCTAACAGCATGCCCGAAAGTACCAGGGACAAAGCCCCGCCATCCTGGCCTCTCAGAAGCACCTGACTGACCCGCACCTGGGGCACATTTGTTCTTTTGGCAGGGTCTTCACACCTGCTGTCGGAGACAAAGCACGGGTAGTGGGGTGACTTACCTTATGGCACATGTAGGATCCACCCTTCTTCACCCGGTCTCTCCCGGAAGGAGGGCCCTTCTGTGGGTGAAGAGAAGGCAATGCATTAGCCCTGAGCACAGATGCCCCAGTGAGGGGGAGACGTGCCACATGGTCCATGTGGTTACCTGAACACTCCTCTAACATCTCCTCTGTAACCACACCCACCCCTTCAAATCCTGCCGTCCTCCCAGGCCCACCTCGCGTCCTCCACCGTGGTGTGCTGCCTGGGATTCAAGTATGCAATCTTTCCTCTAAACCCTGTCATATCTCTTGCCATGCGACATGACAGCACCTCTGACATCACCTTCCAGGCCTAATCCGGAAATTCACCATCCATTCTAACCAGCTTCTTAGCTACACGGTAGACACTGAATTACACCCTTTGTGACGCCAGTGTATAGCACCTAAGACATTCTCTGCTGAAGGAATGAATGAATTTCTGTTTGGCTCCAGTTTATTAAGGTTTAATCTGCATACAGTAAAATCAGTCCTCTTTAGACCTCTTTAGACATTCACTTCCCATGACTTTTCACCTATGTCCTGGCAACCACCACCATGATCAAGACGCGCTCAACAAGAGACTGTCAAGGCGGACGTGCTCCAAACGTACTGCTGCCTGCTCGCCTTGTCCCAGACGCCGGCACACACAGAGCTCAGTGTGGGCCACATCAGCTCCAAAGGCCGGGTGACAGCTTGTCCTGAGGACAAGAGGAGGCGCTGCCCTGCGCGATGGAAAAGAGAAATACACAGCCACCGTGAATGTGCAGAAGACGGAAGGATGGTCTGTACAGGTGAAGCCGACCCACCAGTCGGAGCCCCACAGAGACGGCCCGGGGCCATCGTGCGTGAGGGAGGACATGGGTCAGCTGTAACAGCCTCCTAAGTCAGGGGCTTTCCCCCATAAGACCTGGTGGACTGGGGGGTCACCCGAACCTGACACGAGGGGGCTTTACCCCCGTAAGACTTGGAGGATGGGGGGGTCACCTGAACCTGACACTCACGGTGCCTTCTTAGGGAGACCTGCTGAGGACAATGAACTGTCCATGTGCTATGTGTGTCTGTGACAGTGGACGTGCTGGCCAGTGCGTATGCAAACAGGAACACATTTCAGAGACCTCACAGCTGTGGCCATCCCTTCTGGACACAGTCACAATTAATTCAATGTCACTAACAATGTTTTAGTGGGGATTTTTGTGTCTATGCTTATTAATCTGTGGCTGTATCTAACTTTGTTACCAGGGTAATTCCTCATAAATAAGTGGACGGTATTCCCTGGTCCAAGACGATGTCAGAAGAGATTCTGATTATTGCACTAGAGCACTGAGAAACCAAAGCAAGGGGAAGAAATTAAGTTAAGGAACTAAAGATTTAAAGGGCAGCACAGAAAGACAAAGGAAAGCATTCTAACGAAATGTGCAAGTAGCTGGAGTCAAAAAATCAAAAGGGCCAAACTCACTTGGCATTTCCTAAGCTGAAGCAACTGAAGAACAAATTGAAGCTTCAAGCTGCAATATTTACGGATGCTGTGGGCAGAATATTAAGTTATCCAGGATGCACTGAAATAAGACGGAAGGAGTATACAGAGTCACTGTACTAAAAAAGAATTGGCTGACAAAAAGAATTTCATGAAACAGCAGTACCATCAAGAGCCTACGGTGATGAAGGAGAAAGCTCAATCTGCTTTGAAGGACCTGGCAAAAATCAAGGCCCCAGGTACTGATGTATTTCATACCAATTGACATATCTCAACAAACAGATGATACCATGGATGTGCTCACCAGGATATGCTCCAAGAAATCTGGAGGAAGACTACCTGGCAAACTGACTGCAAGATGCCCATATTTACTACTATTGCAAAAAAGGGAAATCGGATAGAGTGGGAAAATTAATGATCGCTATCACTAATATTACACACAAGTAAAATCCTGCTGATAATTATCCACAAATGCCTGGAACAATACACTGACAGAAAACTACCAAAAATACAAACTGGGTTTAGAAGAGGCTGTAGCACTAGAGACATTATTGCCAACGTTAGATGGATCTCGCCTGAAAACAAAGAGTACCACAGGAATGTCTATCTGTGTTACACTGACTATGCAAAGGCATTTGACCGTGTGGATCACAAGTTGTAGCTAACCTTGAGGAGAATGGAAATTCCAGAACACTTGATTGTGCTCATGCGAATCCTATACTTGGACCAGGAGCCAGTAGTCAGAACAGAGCAAGGAAACACTGCATGGTTCAAAAGTGTGTCAGGAACGCATCCTGTTTCTATACCTTTTTAATCTGTACGGAGAACAGATCATTCAGGAGGCTGGACTTTATTAGGAGGAGTGTGGTATCAGGATGGAGGAAGACTCATCAACAACCTGAATTATACAACCTTCCTTGCCAAAACTGAAGAGGACCTGAAGCACTTGCTGCAAAAAGTCAATATAGAATTAAGCTTAACATCAAGACAAAAGATTCTCACCATTAGGCCTGTTGGCAGCACCATGATAGATGACAAAAGAGATTGAGGCTGTTAACAATTTCTGCTTTCTCAGATCCACAATCAATGCTCTTGGCAAGGAATCAAAAGACAAAGTGCATTGGATTAGTCTGCTGTCAGGGACCTTTCCAAAGTGCTAATGAGCAAGGATGTCAATCTAGAGACTAAGGTGCACCTTATCCAGGCCATGGTCTTCACAGTTACTTACTATGCATTACAGAGCTGGACAGTGACTATGGACAACAGAATAATCATTGACCCGGAGAACAAACAGATCCGTCTTGGAGAGGGTGAAACCAAGTTTTTACTTGGCAGCAAGGATTTTGAAGCTCTGTCTCACATTCTTTGTGCACGTGGTCAGAAGACACTAGCCCTTGGGGAAGGACATCATGCTTGGAAAGGTGAAGGGACAGCATAGGAGAGAAGACCCCAGGTGAGATGAACTGATACAGTAACCGGGGTAATAGGTTTAGGTGTGTCGGAGTCAGTAAGACTGGCTCAGCATAGAGCAGGGTTCAGAGCTACTGTACACACAGGGTCACTATGAGTTGTGGGAGACTTGATGGCACAGAACAACAACATTCCCTTGTCTTCTCTATTTTCTTGAATAAAATTTTGCAGAATTGAAGTTAATTCTTCCTTAAACATTTTGCAGTATCTTCCAGTGAAACTAGCTAAGCCTGGAGATTAATTTTTATGGGAGTCTGAAAATTCTCTAGTTGAATAATTTTCTTTGTAGTAAGAAGACTGTTGACACACTGTGTTCTGTACCGGATGAGTGTGGTGGTGTGTTTTTCTAGCCAGCGTCCATTCTGCCGAAGGTGTCCAAGGCATGTCTACTGAGCTGCGCACACACTGCCTCACCAGCACCTAGTCTGCAGGGGTCTGCAGGAGGAACCCTGCCTCATTTCTGTTTATTTGCCGTGGCTCTGCATTTTTTCAAATTTGTTTCAAGCTTGTTTATAATTGCTATTGAGGCATTTTTCTTATGGCTACTTTAAAATCTTTGATGGCTAATGCTAACATCTCAGTGTTGCTATCCATCGTCTTTTTAATTCAGTTTCTGTCTCTTGATTTTTGGTTACAAATGTTCTGCCGTAATTGAAACCTTCCCTTCTTGTATTAGGAAAGTCTGTCCTACATGAATGTACTGATTCAGTCAACACCTTATGTTGTTGTGAATCACTGAGTCAGAACTATCTCACTGCTGACCCTCCAGGGGGGTTTCAGAGGCTGCAGATCAGATGGGAGGGGACTGACCATCCTTCTCCTGCAGAGCAGCTGGGGATTTGAACCATGTACCTCTGGGTTGGCAGCGAACTCTATACCACGAAGTTAACGGTATTTCCTGTTGTTACATCTAGTTCATAATTCAATTTTCATTTTTTTTTCTTAAAATCAACTTTCTTTAAGGAACTCCTAAACGTAATAATCCAGGTGGCATAAAACATACAGAATTCCAAATCCAAAGTGCATACCTTATTAAGAGCAAACTTCTAAGTGGAGCCCAAGTTAAATAAAACAAAAACCAACAACAACCCATGAATGCCCTTGTAGAATGAAAATAATTTTGTAATACAAAGGAATTAACAGACCTAGAGTCAGGGCATGCAAAGGTGATTACTACAGCATCAGAATTAGGAAAACAAAACATTCAGGACAAAAAGCCTTCTGCGGGCCACAGGGATACTGAAGCAGCTTTTAAACATCTGAAAAAATTCCATCTTCTCGATTTCTTCTCCCTTTTGACTACTCTAAATTAAACCATGCACACCTCAGGGGAAAATTTAAATTCCTGTTCAATTTGACAAAGGCAGTCTGATTTAATAAAGCTACAATAGCATTTCTGAGAAACCCAACAATCTTGCAGGCACTTTAAATACCGTTTTCGCCTGCAGACTGTGCACTGCTGAAGACAAGTCAATGTAACAACAAGAGTTCTGAGGGGGGGGGAAATTAATGAACGTCCAAAAAAAGACGAAATTATGAACGGTCGCACGTTTTCCTCCCTCATCTCACTGCACTCCACACAGCTGCTGAAGTGACAGCGGGGAGGCCGAACCCCCGCTCTCCGTCCCTCCCTCCCTCCACCCAGCTGGTCAGCCTTGCAAACCTCCACAGCGTCATCTCCATGGTGACCACAATGCTCCAAGACACAAGCCTTTCTCACCTGGACCATAACAGCTTCCGATCATGTCTTTAAGCTTCCAAAATACTTCACAAGTACTTACTAGGAGCACAATATTTGTAGACTTAAAAAACGACTACAGCATTGCAACAGAAGTCCGACAGAAAGAGTCCCCACTGTATCATCCCATTTACGTAAAACAGACAAGAGTACAAACCAAGCTGTCCTGACGGGAAGCAGGAGCAGCATTTCCTTAGTTTCTTTTCCTTTAAAGTCTGCTCAGAGGCATCTCTTTCCCATCACCTCAACAGATTTTAAAGGATCTCTGTCTTCCCACCCAGCATCTGAGATGCTTGGGACTCTGTCAATTGCCTCCACCTTCCATCTGCTTAGAGCAGAGCCCATCGTCTCATTCAG